TGCTGCTTCCTCTGGAGACTTGCCTTTGAGCTTAACCATTTTGAAGAGAACAACCAACAAATGAGAGCATTAGCCTCCAGCTGGTCTCCTCCTGCCTCCCCGCTCTCCTCCCCTCTTGCTCCCCTTGCATGCGTCATCTTGCCCTCCCCAAATCTGAATTTGTTCTGACTAAAGCAGGAAATGCTTAAGATTTTTAGACCTCCCCACAGTCCAGTGGAGCATATCACTAATCGTGTTCTGTTTGTGCCTTGCCCACAGTAGAGTCTTGCTCAATGCTGGCTGAACTGGTTTGTTGAATTTTAATCTCCACCATGCTGAGAATGGTGCTGCCCCAGTGCTGAGCACTGGGATGACCGTTGCATTCCAAGTGGCCTTTATCGCCATCCAGATGTAGGATCTGTTATCCCAGGAATGATTTCCAGGTTCCCACGATACTTACTCCCTGACCTTCCAAGTTTCAGCTCTTTCTCTTCCTGTGTATGTAAGCATCTGGGACTCAGTACCTACTTTGAGTACCGTGACCTGTCTTCGTCTTGCCAGGAGGTCTTCTCAAGAATCATGTCTCTTACCCTGAGTCACTGCACAGTGGCTAGATTCTGTAGCTGTGATCAGACCTCCATGATGGTAATGGACCACCTTCCTGACTTCACCAGCCTATTGCTCTCTGCCGATAGCTTTGCCTCCCTGTGATAGCTGGGCCCCAAGAATTCCCCTACCACCGTCATCAAAGCCCAGGTGAGGATTGTTTCCTCAATCAGATCAAGGTTACCTCGTCTGTTGGATGTCATGCCTGGTTCCTAGGTTGGGCTTTGTAGCTGGATCAGGCTCTCAGCCTGCTCTGTTCTTGTGAGCAGGCCTGGCTAGCTCCCAGCTCCCTTCTCCGTACAGCCTCTGTGCTCTGTTGGAGTTACGGTAGGTAGGACTCAAAACTATAGTCTTTGAAATGGAGAAGGGAAGGCTCAAGGAGAGGGAAGAGGGACTTCTTTAAATAGGTGTCTTCAAGTATTTGAAAGGTCGCCATGTAGGGAAACTACTGGACTTGTTCTGCATAGCCAGAGAAATTAGAACCAGGACTCAAATTAGGTTGAAGCCACTGAGCTACTGGGATGCAGAAGAGCATTCCTTACCTCTAGTTCAAACCTAACAGCACTTCCTGGAGATAGAAGGGGATTCCTTCTGGAAGCCCTTCATTATGGAAGGGACTCCAGCATCGGCTGGATTAGCAAGTCTAAGTTTTGTTTATTGGTTTGTTTCTGTTATTGCACGAATAAAGGGTTGTGTTTACTTGGATGGCATTTGGCTGTGGTGATATGGCAATCGTGAGCGACCTGCAGTCCTATTCCTTTCTCTGTCTTCAGGGACACAGGCGAGTGAGAGTGGCTTTATTATAGCAATATCCTTGAGTCTACTCTGACATGTTCAAATTAATCCACTCAATCAGTGAATATTGAGTGATTCATTCAGTGCTCAGTGCTTCTAACTGTTACGTTTAACCAAGTTCTTTTGACATTGCACTTATCAACTGGGTGTTCCAGACATTGTCGAAAGGGTTCAAGTATCCGCTGGGGTTGATTTATAGATTGCCTTTAAATTTCTTTTTATATTTGAGAATCAGTGGTTGAGCATCATGATTCTAGTCTCATATTGAGTAGATATCTTGCCTCTAGGTATGGTTTTTAAAACTCAAACGTGAGTCATGAGGATGAAAGGGGACCTGAAGGAACATTTGGTCCATGCAGAATTTTACTCAGGTTGTCTCTGTCAGAATGTGATAGTTGGCAGTGGACCCAGGCAATCCTGTTTCAGTGCAATGACCCCAGGGATTCCAACTAGAATTATACTTTGAGTTGCCATCTTTCTTTCAGATTGAGCTGGAAAATGACTGACATTATATTGTCCACATTCCTTGGAATATTTTTTTTTTTTTGGTAACACCGTTATGAGATAGAATTCAGCTACCATACAATTCATGCATTTAAAGTGTGCGATTTAATAGTTTGTAGTATATTCACAGTTGTGCAACCATCACCACAATCAATTTTAGAACATTTTCATCACCTCAAAAAGGAACCTCACACCCCTTAGCTATCATCCCCTAACCCTAAACAACCTATATATTTGCCCATTTTGGACATTCATGGAAATGGAATCATAATATGTGGAGATTTTTTGTGACTAGCTTCTTTCACTTGGCATGTTTTCAAGGTTCATCCATATTGTAACATGTGTCAGTGCTTCATTCCATTTTATGGCTAAAAAAATGTGTTTTTAGATGGATATCTCATATTTTGTTTATCCATTCACCAGTCGATGGACAGTTGTATTGTTTCCACTTTGGGGCTACTGTGAATAATGCTGCTATGAACATTCATGTACCAGTTTTTGTGTGGGCATATGTTTTCATTTCTCTTGGTGTATCTAGGAGTGGAATTACTGGGTCATGTGGTAACTCTGTATTTAACTTTTTGAGGAACAACCAGGGTTTTTTTCAAAGTGGCTGTACCATTTTTACATTCTCGTCAGCAGAGTGTGTGTTCCGATTTCTCCACATCCTTGCCAACACTTGTTACTATCTTAGACTTCTTGATTATAGCCATCCTTGTGAGTGTGAAGTGGTATCTCATTGTGGTTTTGAGTTGCGTTTCCTTGACGACTAATGATATTCAGCATCTTTTCATGTGCTTATTGGCCATTGCTTATTTATTTGGAGAAATGTCCATTCAGATCCTTTGTCTGTTTTTTATTGAGTTGTCTTTTTATTATTGAGTTATGAGTTCTTTATATATTCTAGATTAAAGTCCTTTATCAGATATGATTTGCATATATTTTTTCTCATTCTTTGAATTGTCTTTCCCTTTCTTGATAGTCTCCTTTAAAGCGTACGGGTTTTTAATTTTGATGAAGTCCAATTTATCTGTTTTTTCTTTCATTGCTTGTGCTTTTGGTGTTATATCTAAAACTTCACTGCCAAAATCTGAGCTCATGAAGATTTACCCCTATTTTTTCTCCTAAGAGTTTTGTAGCTTTAGCTCTTAAACTTAGGTATTTGATGCATTTTGAGTTAGCTTTTTTATATGGTCTGAGATGAGGATCCAACTTCTTCCTTTTGCATTTGGCTATCCAGTTGTCTCAGAACGTTTTGTTGAAAAGATGATTCTTTCCCCATTAAATAGTCTTGGCATCTTTGTCAAGAATCAGTTGACCATAGATATATGGGTTTACTTCTGGATGCTAAATTCTATTCCATTGATCTATATGTCTGTCCTATGTAAGTACCACATTACCTTGTTTCCTTGGAATATTTTTAACTCATGGAATGCATCTTCTGAAAATACAAAATTATGTGCCACTCTTATGTTATTAAATTAACTATCAAGTCATGTGTTCACTTTTTAAATCAGACTCTTTACTCCTATCTAGTAATATGTGAAGTATATGCAAACATATTATTTCTAAAATACAGATTAATAAGATTTGGCATTTTAAGAAAAATGTTTATTCTTTTCAGTTTAACTTTTTACTGTAGCAGTTCGATTTAGATAATCAATCTTGCTCATATTTCTAATGAGTTCAAGAGAGTTCCCTGGGATTGAGCATGACTGCACGAGGAAGTAGAGAGGTTTGCAGTTGGCATCCACATCTAAACAGATCTGTATGGCAGGGGTTCAGGAGGAGGTTTGGTTCGGAATCTAATGAAAGATTGAAAGATGGCTTGGGAAAGGCTCTTGTGTGTCAAGCCCTTCACCCAGTGAAGGCCTGCCCTCTTAGTTTGCATGATTGACAGTGGAAAGACCTGGAGTCGGGTGGGAGGAAGACAGCTGGTGATTGTGTGTCTCGTTCTAATCTTTTTAGATGTATTAAAAAAAGAAAATAATAATGTAGCTGAATGCAGTGGCAAACAAAAGGCAGCCATTTCTCCCTTGGTAACTGTCAGGAAAACAATAGGTGTACCTGAAGATAATATGAATAATCTGCTGACTCTGCTGTGAAAGCAAGCAACACTCAGTCTAAGGTGATGATCTGTGGTCCTGATAAAAGAACATCACTAGGTGCAAATCTAGAAGGCTCACGTTCTGCTCAGTGTGTTATATTGCAAATCAGGAATTGTACCTCCGTCTGTTAAAATAATTGAGAAGTTCTGAATCTTAGGCAACAGCCAAGATATTCTCCTTAGAGTATAAACACATTCATTCATTCATTCCATCCCCCTCCCCTCCCCTCCTCCCTCTCACACTGCACCTATCATGGTGTCTTATGTAAAACAGAGGTTCAATACAGGAGATATTTATTAGAGGATGCAAAGAGAAAGGGAGAGGAAAGGAGGATGGAGGAAAGGCTGGGCACCAAAATAGAGCAAAGCCAGAGATGGGATGGGACTGAGGAGCGCCGCCGAATCAGGAGGGCAATCGAGGGAGGTCATCCCTGTCCTCTCCTCCGTTTCTGTGTGTCTTCCCCCTTTCCACAGTGGAATGGATGAAGACTCGGATCAGGGGATCTTCGTGTCATTCGGGTCACACACTATTCGTGCTGTACCAAGAATCTCCTTTTATTAAGACATTTTCACAGTTAAGTCCCAGCTTACTGTACCTAAAAGCAAAAATACTCGCTTCATAGAAATCACTTGTTTTATCTCAAATTCAGATAACCGTTATTTGATTGCTAATATTACAACACATAGATTTATTTGTCATAAAACTAGGAAAACTATGGAAAGAGCAAGTAAATTGATGTGTTTACTCAAATTGTGTATTTAAATAAATTTTTTTCAATTGTGTATTTAATTAGACATTGACGTGGCTGTTATTTTAGAGAAAATTTTTCATCTATTCACTACTGTTTGAAGTTTTTCCTCTACTTTGCAGCTGCTTTGTTCAGGACGGAATATAAAGCTCAGTGTTTGGCATAAATTTGCTAGCATTTCCACAGTGAACTCCACAAGTATCTTTACAGTCTATATCCATCTGCCTTTTTTTTCTAACTTTCTTTCTCTTTGGTTATAGGCCAAGAAAGAAGAGAGAACTCTCAGCAAACAACATTTCAAAGGGAGTACATTGCCAGAATTTTGAATATTTATTTCGACAGACATTTCTCCAAGGTAAATATTACCGTTGTACCAATAAGGGGGCACATCCTTAGAATCTGCAGACTGCAGTGGTACTGCCCAAAGGCCTAATTGTGTAGTCTAATACAGACCCAGAGTGATATGAGAGAAAAGAGAGGGAGAGAGAGAAGAGGGCAGAGCTGTTTGAATATCCTGCAGTCTCTTCTAAATGTGTTACCGGGAGAATGCCATCAGAATCTGGAGCTCATTGAGCTGTACTAAAAATGTGTGGGAAAAAGCAAGGAAAGGGGAAGCCATATTTTTTCTCTGCTTGTTGCTCTCTCAGATATTCATGAAATCAAAAGGCAGTGTGGTGTGATTCCAAAAATAGCATTTCTTCTTCTAAGAGGAAGGCGTTGGGTAATTCCTTTTAAAGGTTAAAATAGAAGATATGCTGTATTCATGTCACCAGGAAAAAAAAAACTCTGAGTCATAGTATTTTAGACCAACTAAGATTTACAAATATGGAAGATTTTCAAGAAATCCGTGTTCTTCTTTTATGAAAGCACCTATTAAGTAAGCTTTCATTGGTTGGTGACAAATCCTTCATGGAGTTCTTCTTTCAGAAGATTATATCCTTAATGCCTCTGTTAGGAGGAGGTGAGGAGGTGTGTGTTTGTGAGAGAGAGAGAGTGAATATGAGAGAGAGAGAGAGAATGAATGAATATGAGAGAGAGAATGAATAAGAGAGAGAAAGAGGCCCCAAAGGGAAGTCTGTCCGCATTATACTGTATGTTTCAGAGAAGTAACTCCAGGCACTTTTGTTATGAATCATGAGCATAGTGGGAATAAAGCCTTAACAGAAGCAGCTGAATTCACAGTCAGCTTCAGCATTCATGAATTAGCTGCCAATATTTTAACACAAATTGCTGTGTCATGAAGTTCCCCTGTTGCTGCTCAGTCTGTAGCTAAAAGCTGTTTTTGCTAAGCCCTAAAATTATGTCTGATGAAACGCCTCCTTCCTTCCTGATAAAGATATTCGTGTACACTTACACACGGAAATGCAAAAATATACTATCCAATTTAGAAGAAAGTAAGCTTGCCAACTTTCTCTGCTTAGCAGTTACAATGTAGCTGACATGACTTAACTTGCTAGCGTGCGATTTCAGATTGTCGCCGGGAGGGTAGTGTTTTCCTCATCAGTCCTCATTCTGGCCCTTCTCTGAAGGTGTTGGGGGGGAGCTTTACATTAGAGGAGAATTTTGTGATACTATTCATTCTCTGTCCTGACAGAGAAGACATTGTTTGTTCACTGTAATAGGCTTGGCAGGAATCTGTGCTGTGCATACAGAATGGGAAAATAGCAGAGCAGTGGGGAATCTCGAAATCCTAAGCAATACATCAGCCAAGAGATTTTTTTAGAAATATTTTTTAATAGCTTCTCATTACTGTGGCTGCAAGTCATAATTTGGGGAAATAGTTTTCCTTCACATTGTGTCATGCATGTATTACATGAAAAAAGTCTTTGAGATAGCAGTGTGCCTAGCTAAAATACTGCAGTAACAAGAATTAAATCGTGAAAGTTCAGAAGTGCTTTATAAACACACGAGAGCTGCTTTTGAGATCCCTCCCTGTGCGTTAGATTCACGTGTCTGTATAAATGAAAAATAACCTCTGCACGGCATCTGGTGGTTCACAGAAGCCAGTGTGAGCTGCCTAAGATAACAGAAGAAAGATATTAAATGACGTGTCTGGAGGTAAGAGGTACAGTGCTAGGGACAGCGTGAGAGGGCACCACGCCCAAAATGCTCAGAACTTTAAAGGCAGCCACTGTAAAAGCAAAGACTCGAAGCAGTTTGCAAACTCTGTGTTGGAAACTGAACTGGCAGAAATGTAAACCGTGACCAAGGCTCAGCGTTCCTGCTCCTTAAGTCTCTGAGACCCCCCTCCCCCTCCCCAAGCACAGGAACTGCAAGATCCGATGGTCCCTGATAGCCTGGTGTCCGGGGAAACCATGTGTGTGCGTGTGTGTTTCTTCCTAGAGCAGAAAAAAATGTTGGCAGGCTGCAGGCTGCTGTGTTCACAGACAGAGCACGTGAGCCAGGGACCAGGGGAGTCCCGAGAGCAGGTGGTGGGGCCGTTCCCGGCCAAGTTCAAGGGCCCCTCGTCCTTATGCTCAGAGAGAGATTTATCATATTGCCCAGTCTTGGCTTGTATTTGTAAGAGGATCTCTCTGCGTATTTTTACAAGAAGTATATCATGTAAATTATGAGATTTCTAAAATTACAGTTGTGATGTCATCAGTATGCAGTTGGTCATTAGATTATTGCAGACCCTTCTCAGCTTTTTATGTAACCCATATAAGGATTGTTAGTCTTATGCACCTAATGCAGATGTTTTACTCCACCGCGTGTGACGTCATTCGTGTACATCATCTGCTTTGTTGCTTTTAAATTTCTCAGTCTTTTAAAATGTACTTGGCCATCTATAAAGATATGTGTTTGTTAACCTTTTAAAAATGTGTAAGATATATTTATATGGTGATATTTTCAAGTAAAGAGCAAGGAAACCAAGAAAAATTAACTGAGGTATTAGCAAACTATTTTCTTTCGCTGCTTCAATCTATTTGGTGCTTTTATTTTATCCGTTTTTAAAGTGGTTTTTGTTTGATTATGTGAAACAACTGAGTTAAGAGGGAGTTACGAGCCACCCAGGGAGGCAAGGCTGAGCTCCTGCCCTCCAGGGCTCCTCGGAGGCACTGTCCGCGGCAGAGGACCCGCGAGCCCTGGAGGACGCCATTTGCAGGGTCCTCGCTGGCCCATCTGAGATGCTGGCAGCCCTGCCTCCCATCCTGCCTTCTTGTTCCTGTTCTTCTGGAATCCCTGGTAACCACTGTACATGGCCTCATCATTAACATGCTAGTGACAGCCTGCTCTCCATAGCATGCAACCACAGCCCGCCAGAGAGCAGTGGGAGCTCACAGGCAGCTAGGCTGTCTGGTCTGGCCTTATCTGTATCCCTGTAACTAGTCGGGCCTGGCCGTCGTAAAGTCAGAAGGGTGAGGGCCCTGGTTTTACCAATGATGTGTGTCATCTCTGTCTGTTATGAAAGGAAACGTAGAGCGGTAGAGGGAAATTGGAGTAAACACTTAATGCACCATTTTACTTAACAAACACGCTGTGCTCGCTGTGAGGCAAGCACTGATCTAACCACTTTGCAAATATTAAATCATGTGATCCACTGGACTGCCCTGCTGCTGTTATTGTTATTCTCTTTTACTGAATAGGAAACTGAAGCTCAGAGAGGGTGAGTAACTTGTCCGAGGTCCCACAGGTGGTAAGGGTAGACAGCATTGACATCTGGGCCATCTGCACCAGAGTCTAGGCTAGGGCTCCACGCGCCCAACCACAGGTGCCTCCTGGACCACACCAGAGCTTGCTTAACTGTCGCATCCCTTTGGGGTCTGTGAACGCACGTGCCAGCCCCACAGAGGTACACACGCCATGTTACGTTCTTGGTTTTGGAACTGTAAACCTGTGGTCTTTTGGCATTTACATCAGTGGAAGTAGAATTTGTAATTTCTCTCCTTCTAGAATTCGAAGTGGGTGCAGATTAATGCTGTGTGGTAAACAGAGGGTTCCAGGCACTGCATCCCAAGGCTCTCAGGTGCACTGTACTCCCCAGCCTGCCCACATGGGATCACCCCAGCGGCACTGGGAGAAAGGCCAAGGAGGTTTGCTCTCCCTCTTCCTCAGTGCCTTTTTCCTGGGATGGGTCCGGTACCTTTGGATGTACAATGGCCCTGAGACCAGTGGTGTTGCCCGACTTGCCATCATTGAGAGAAGCCACTATTCAGGGTGATGTGTCAATGAGATGGACATTTGACCATTCTTCTCTCCCACCTGCCATGGGGATTTAGACAGCTGCCTTCTGGAGTCCTGCCTTAACCCAGCACTTCCTAAAGTGTGCCCTGAGGGTGCAAATGGGTGCCACTCCCCGCCCCCCCATGCCACTAAAAGAGAAAAGAAAAAAGGTTTTATTTATGGTGAGATACATTTGGGAGACAGGGGTTAAATGAAACTAAATTGATTTACTTATTGCAGGTTTCTCAGAACGTCCTTGTGACTCTCCAAAGCGAGGTGCAGAATGCAGAATTTCCTAAATTTTTATTGTCTCAGATGGGGAGAAATGTCTAGCCACATCCCTTGGGCAGTGCTGTCTTAAGAAGAGGAGAGGCGAGAGACCCTAATGTCATAGCAGGCAGTCAGGTATGGAGGAGATGGAGGAAAAATCAATCAGCTGCATTTGGGATCCCTAAATTCCAGCCCATCTTTAAACCAGTATCATTTGGACCTTGAAACCTCAGGTTTCTCATCCGAAGAATGTGGAGGATAGAACTGGATTATCTCCAAGCTCTTTTCATCTTTATAAGCTGCTAACTGTTTGTTTATATCCTAACTTGCTCCAAAGGGGCATTTAAGAAGACACAATACACAACACATCAAGACAGAGTAAGTTAAGGGGGCTGGCCCCGTGGCCGAGTGGTTAAGTTCGCATGCTCTGCTGCAGGCGGCCCAGTGTTTCGTTGGTTCGAATCCTGGGCGCAGACATGGCACTGCTCATCAAACCACGCTGAGGCGGCATCCCACATGCCACAACTAGAAGGACCCACAACGAAGAATATACAACTGTGTACTGGGGGGCTTTGGGGAGAAAAAGGAAAAAAATAAAATCTTAATAAAAAAAAAAAAGACAGAGTAAGTTAAAAAGAGTGAGGGTAAAATGAGGCACAGGGAATAGAAAGTGGGAAAGACGAGGAAGGAGGGAGGTTCGTATGAAGAATGAATTCTGTGAAATCCGTTATGGTTGATATGAAAGAACCAAATTTTGTTCATACTTTCAAGAGAACAGTTTGAAAAGAGAACTATAATCCTAGCTTCCTGATTAATGGGGTCCTAAGCTAAAAACAAATAAATTTTCCCTGGAAAAACAACTATTCCCAGTTTTGAGACCAAATTTTTCTCATGGTTTTTAAATTCTGCGGCCTTTTTGGT